TTCCAAGGTGTTTCCCGGTGTAGATATGCTGCACACCCACTTGTGGAAGGTCCATGAAGTTGATATGGAGCTGCCAACCTGCGATGTATGTGGATTCAAAACATACAATAGATACAGGCTTTATAATGTACACATGAATTGTCACAAAAAGCTGAAAGACTTCATATGTAAGTACTTAGCATATTTTATTACTTACTCTGTTACTGTTTATTAGATGCAAACATCTTTGAATAAATTTAACATTAGCATCATATTTGATTACTATTATTTTCATCAATTTGTGATGCTGCTTTTGTAGATTTTATTGTCTTCACTATCTTTAGTTAACAAAATAAACTGATAAATCTTGAATCTTGATTTTAAATAAAGATATGTAATGTATCTTTATAAAAATAAAGAAATAAATAAAATTATTAAATTATATTTATTAAATATTTTTTATTAAATAAAGATATGTATTTTTATAAAATCAAGATAAAATAAGTTTAATTTCCTAGTTTTTTTACTCATACCATAGCATAACCCTTTCACTCACTACTTGATTAACTATTTCTCTATCTGATTACAATAATATCATCCAACTCTTACAGGTCCCATTTGCTCAAAAGCTTTCAAGAATTCCAATCAACTTTCCAAGCATAAGCTCATACACAAAGAGTCTAAGACTCCATTATGCTGCTCCATCTGCCAGCGCCAGTTCTCCAATGAACGCAGGCTAAGGTCCCATGTTGCCGAGGTCCATGATAAGATCAAGCCATTCAAGTGTGAGGTCTGTGATTACTCCACAGCTAGGAAGGAACAACTCAAACAGCATTTAAGGTCACATACCGGTATGTATCTTAAATTTTATTCATGTCTATCTAGTCCTAAAGGGTTTTTGTTGAATTTAGTTGTCTTGTTTTGAATCTTTCAATGAACATAAATACTTTTGTGGAACATAGGCATAGGCACTGAACACTTTCATTGCACTTTAAAAACTTGTATCATTAAAGCAAGAAGCCATTTCGTCATCACAAAATAAATTTTCGCCACTTTTGTGAGTTGGCGTGATGCTGAACACCATTTTACCAATAAATCTAATTTAATTCCGCCGCTTTTCAGGTGATAAGCCTTATCAGTGTGACCAATGCAACTACAGGTCTGCTGACCACAACGGCCTGCGCCGACATAAGAAACAGCATTCAAAGGAAAATGTGTACAAATGTAAGCATTGCCCGTATACAGCCATACAGTCAACACTGTTCACCTCACACATGATCTCCAAGCATCCTAACGTCACCGACAGTGACGTGCATCGGTGCCCTTACTGCCCGTTCAAGTGCATCAGCAAAGATAAATACTTCCAACATCTCACCACACACTCCGATAAAGAAGGCATTCAAGTACTCATAGAAATGAACAAAGTCAAACCAACTTGGACAATACCACCTAGCGAAGCAGAGAAACCTAACGATAACCCCACCATCAACCCTGAGCCTGTAGAAGTGTGCCCGAAACCTGTCAATGAAATACCAATAGAAGTGTACGACTGTGACAACTACACGGAGAACTTGCCGCAAAACTACGTGAAGAATTTCTGTAGTACGACAAGCAACAACACTCAACAGTCTGACTTCAACGCGCAGCTAATGGTCACCGACCTCAGCAAGGAGGACAACAACTCCGACTGCCTCCTTTCCGAAAGCTCCAGCGATACAATGATGGAAAGGCATCAGTTCCAAGCGCAGCACCCGCTGCTTAACTACGATGGGAACCCCTCAAATCTACACGGATTCCTAAACACTTCTGCGTCAATGGAACAAAACCTTCTGCAAAACAATAACAACCCTCATACTTCAAATCATTGTTCCATACCAAACAGTATAAATAACAACATAATGGCCAACTTTCCCATTAGATTGCCTCCCGCTCCCCTAATATCGTTGCGGAACAATATAACGTTGAAGCCTAGTGACAAGATATCCCTGCCCGGGGCTAAAGTAACAGGCATCATAAAGCCAACGCAGATCTTGCCAGTACCTTCGTCCAGCAACTCTCCTGTCAATATATCAATGGATCCGGAAGGAGTACCGAGAAAGAAACCAAAAATATCAGTGAAGAGTAATCTAATCCTGAAAGGCCCAGATCAAGAGAACATGTTTCACTCACAGCAGAAGATGGCGTTCAGGAGACTGGAGGATAATGAGAGGTTTGGGTTGGCCAGTCCCGTCACATTCAATAATCTGATCACTACGCAGTTCATGCAGCTGCAACCTCAGCCGTCACTGAGTCAGTCTCCGAGAGATATTATGGTGTATCCGCAGGAGCCGATGATAGCGGATGCAGTGACTACGCCAGTCGATAACGAAATGAACAGCAACCCACAAATATTCTCCTTCAACCAGCAAATTAATGTGAACGCCATGACGATGCTTCCGCCGCCGCAGAAGATCCAAACGAATGACCCCAGCTACATCAAACTAGAGAGCACGATAAAACAAAATACTCAGTCACCAAGTTTGGAAAGAATGTGTAATGCTAATCTTCTGAACAATTCTGCTATAAACCGCGAATATAAGGCGTCACCGCCGCTTGAAGAAATACATAAGAACATGAGCGAAATCAAGAACGAAGTAAAGTCAGATTCTTTCTATAACTTGGCGATCAACAATGAAGCGCCAAACCCTCCTGCTATAACGTCGATGGACAACTTCTTCCTGGACAACTTGTGCGCAGGAGAGAAGTACACGTCCGGGCTCATGGATCTAACTGGCGTTAGTCTGCAGCCGATATCGGATGATCAGAATGACGTGATAGAGATCGATGACAACTCGGACGACAACAAGCTTCTGCCGCGGCTAGACATATACTACAATTTGGAAGGGTTGTACCCACACAATGACTTCCACTTCTTGGACAGCGATCCTGGCTTCCAACAAGACGATATCAACAGGATGGTCAGTGAGGTGCCAAGTATTAACCAAAAGGACTTACTGGACTCTGCTAGTGAAGGGAATCTAAGCTCTGCCAATGAGAATCAAGGGTGCACTCAAAGTGTAATGGACCCCATCATGAATACCACGGTGCGACTCACCACTAACAAAATAAATGTAAAAAATATTGAACTCATGAAAAATTAATGAGATTTATATTTGCTCTTATGAACGTTCCCCTCTGTGATGTAGTTTATACCTCCTGTTACTTGTTAGGCAATATTGTCATACTATTGTACATATAAATATATGTATTAGGTGTAATGTATCTGAATGTGTAGCTATACATACATAAGTGTATATTGTAGACTAATCAATTTAAGAATGTTCTAGAATGATTCGACGGTGTGCGTAAAATGAGACAATATATTTATACCTAAAATTGGTATTCAATTGAAAAACCCTATTATATCGCATTTGCGACCCCTCGACCAACTAGACATTTTTGTAAATAACTATAGGCCTGTAAGTAAAATTTAAAAATATCGTATGTATATGTCCTTTATTATAGGGAGTTTTGCCTAACAAGTATATCGTTGTTGTACATTTTACGTTTAACGTCTCGGCCAGACTCCATCAATTCTAATATTTCCAAAGTCCGAGACATTTTTTTAAAAGACTGTTAATATTAATTATTGTAAATATTTATTTATTAAATGGAATGTGTTATACATTTTGTTTTTTATACACTACAATGAAGTCCCCGCTGTTTCTTATTTCTTGGTACTTGTAAATGGTCCAAGTATCAGTGACGTCATTGAACGGTTTAGGGTCTGTATGGACCCCTTTCTCGTGGGGGCCGATGATGATCAGGACGTTGCCGTTGTAATACTTTAGGTAGTCGTCAAAAGCTTTTCGGTTGTTGAAGTAACAGAAGAGTAGAGCAGCATTTTTGTTTCTCTGAATTATAGATATTGTCTCCTTGTCTATGTCAGTGGGCGTGATGTGTAGTGGAATGAAGTTTGGCGGGGCGTACTTGCAGCTCCACCACGCCCCGTCTACTTCTATGCCCGATACCGGCACGCCTGCAATGTTAGGAATGCAATTATGTGCATTGTGTCATGGACAGCGCACTATTAACATGGTTTAATAAAGATTTAATCTTGCTAAGTTATTAATTATTAACATCCAATAGCCAAGTACAAAATACAAAGTAACTTTTTACGCGTTTTTGTGAAATTACAAGAAAGGAGGTAGGTAGGTAAGAAAAAACAAATGTAAGTTTACCAGTAGCTTCAGTGATCATCCACTCAAGAAGTCCGCTGCCGCAGCCAATGCTCACAATCCTATCACAAAGCAACTCCGCCAAGCAATCCTTCACAAAAATAAAGTTTTCTTCACTAGGGTACACCCACAAGACCTTATTTCTCTCCGGGTGGTCATGGTACCGAGCCACTATTTCCCTCCATTTATTATCTTTGTACAAGTCTTGTATATCGGCGACTATGTCCATAGCAGAGAATTCGGACGTCAGTAGTAACATTGACTGTGAAATACAAATATAACGGGTTTGCCGAAGTTACATAACACCCTTCCCTGTGATTTATCTATTGAACTACTTACCAGGGATGTACTTTGAAGTTTATAGAATAAAAAGAAATAATATCATGCGAATTGCAATGAACCCGTGATTTAAGATACCAGTTGTTATTTAACCATGTTGATGGCATACATTATAATTAGAATATTTATAAATGCGAATTATCAAACTACAGATTCCAAAAGCTTTATTATATCACAACGAAAAGTTACAATTTACAATTTCTAGTTAGGTACATGTTCTAAAGACATGTAGATACCTGATAAAAAATGCTACGAATCCAAATAATAAATGTTAATTACCTTACTTTTGAAAAATTATAACATACTACCAAAATCCGTCTCTGTCGTTTTCCCTAATGCGCTACAAGAAAAAATTGGCTGCAATCCAAGAATATTGTTTCAATTGGCAATACATTCAGGTAGCGATCACAACTAATAAATAACAATAAAACATTCATCACGTCATTTCAATGCATTTATTTGTCTCTAAATTCACGTAAAGTACAAATATTTATATAAAATGTAGCAAAATACAAATACGGATAGTATAAAATACGCATTCCATGTTACAATGACGATCAGTTTTATATCAATGAATGACTAATCGGCTCGTTATTACACTCTGGTATTGGTAATGCGGCTCGTTCACTTATTGCCTATCTAGCTACACATTTTTACACAATTTAACATTAATTTATTTTAAGGGAACCTTCCTGCAGTATACAATAGTTGATCACAGGCTTGATTAATATGATTGTCTGAAAACACCAAAACATGAAATTGGATTCTATACCAAATAACAATACGGAAATGTACCTATAAAATGCATAACACACATGAAAATTGAGTATTAACTAAACAATGACTTAATTGGGTAGTTTCCACAGAAAAAAAAATGACCTTAAAAAACATTTTAAATTTATTATACGTTCAATAATTAATAATTATTTAATAATTACGGTATACCTTTACATTTTTAATATAAATCAAGATAATGTTACAGTGTGCTATTTCATATAAAATTATTGTTTTTGCCTTTTGGATTTGACTAGTTAGAAACTACCGTATTCTCCGATAAATAAATGTTATTCTGTTATTCATCTATTATTGCTAGTGAAAAGTATGTACAAAACATACATCACAACCTTAGTTTCGTTTAGATTATTATTACAACAGATTATAGACAGAATCTTTCAAGTTTTAATTCGTTTTAACTTTTTGGCGGTAAAATCGAAGCCGCCATGATTGTTTATTCTTTTTTTTTTATTATTCGTATTGGTACATAGGGGAAAGTGAACGAGTTTATGCAACATGATACCTGACAATAAATGTTAAACATCAACTTAAAATACGTGAGATCAACTTACATCAGAGATCATGATCTTCAGTCGACATTTTAAAAACTAATATTATATATTTCATTTATTTATATTTTGTTCAAAGTTCCAGACTCTAAATAACAGATTTTTATCACATACATAATATAGTTTTTGGTAGACCAATATGAGCATTTTGTAATGATATCGTTAAAATAGAATTTCATTGCACAAGTTATTACGATTAAAAAGTATAGTTCAAAGATTTTGCAGTTGCTTTATATGCAATACTCAATTTCAAGTAAAAAATGTAAATAATCTTCCTTTCTACCCACGTTACAATCAGTCTCTTGCCCCTCGATATCATTCCCAACATTTCCTTTAAAAACAATTCATTGTTAAAACCAAACTATAGAGATCAAAAATAAAGAAAAAAACAATATTTATTGGTCCTCTACCGGAAAATAGAAATTCATAATAATTTCAATATACTTAAAAAACATTTCGTATAACTTGTTAAAATCTGATATCATATAATAAATGGATAATTTCGTAATTTTAGCAAATAATATGAATTGTAGTGTTACCTAGCCTAACCTAACGCGTCTTGGACGCACTTATAACCTAGTATTAGTAACATTGACTGCTTGCCCTACAGAACATAATCATTTGACAATAGCGTACACTACCACGAAAATAAAAAGGAATAAAAAATGCTATGGAAGAACATGAAAAGAACAAAGTAATAAAAATGTACTTTTGATCCTAAAATATCATCTTAATATGCATTAAATACATATAAAATTGATTGTATACTACCATAATAACTGCTTTTCCCGCCAACCCTGCTTCAACTCAGCCTTCATTATATATCTGCAAAAGAAAAACATATTTTCCATTAAAATGCCGCCTAGTTTATTTGTAGTACGATTGGGTAGTTTCCTAGATCAAAAATAAATTTATTCGGTGTTTCAATACAATAAAATATTAAAAAATAACTATACTTTCATTCATCGATCGATCAATACACTAAGTTTAGATTTTTTATGATGATTTTTTAAGCGAATTATTAAGAAATGAGTTAGCTATTTGACGCAAAAATGTTATGACGTCTTAAATTAGTTTTTCATACAAATATCGTTTTTGACCTTTGGATAAAAGTATCGAATTTGACTAGTTGGAAACTACCGTGTTGCTAGGTCAGATTGTTTGATCATCAAGTCTTGATATCAACTATCATTATATAGGGGTTGATGGTCTTACCTATAGAAACAGATTGTTTCAACTTCCTTCTCCAGTGCACTTCAGGGCCCGAATCGACACTTGGTTCCTCACTGTCTTTCTTATCTCTGTCCCCATACAAAATCTTCTCGTACAAAGTCTTCTTGTCTTTAGGTGGAGCACCCAGATCCAAGTTATTTAAATTAGTTTGTTCCTCCAGTTCTATCATCTTCCGCACATCAATCGGCGGTAAAGGTATTATTGAAGCTTTTCTGATTTTGTGAACATATTCGCATTGCTCGGGGGAATTAGCTGCGGCTTTTTCGACGTTAGCTGTTTTATTGCCAACGATCACACTTTGCCTTGCGTTGTTAGCGACCAAAATGTACGACGTATCTATCGTATTCTCTTCGTCAGCTTTCGCCTGGGTCTTGTCGCTCTCATGCATATGTTTTTGCATCAGTTCCTCTGGTAGAGGTGGAAGTGGGTTCATGATCTCCAGTTTTGTCTTCTCGTCCTTTTGGTAGTCATCAAGTTTAGTTTGTCCGTTGGCTTGAATCTGCTTAAGGATGGTCTCGTCGCAATCCACAGCAGTTGCAGGCACGTACTCCGGGTGCGTGTTGCGGATATGGCGCTCGAGGTTATCTTTCCTTCTGAAGCGGCGGCTACACACTTTGCAGCGGAAGGGTTTGGAATCTGAAACAAATATTAATGTTCAAACTAAAATTGTGTCTTTTAGTGAATGACACATTACAAAAATATTTATAATAATATAGTTAGACAAGAGGTCTCGCCCCGAAAACCCCCACATTCAGCAAAATCGATAAGGCCGGGTCCAAGATCACATGCTTTTTTAAGCAACCAGCGCCATCTCGGGCTGATTTGTGAATCTAAACCATCTAGGGCGCCACACTAACGCATACAGATAAATTCATTTAAATCGGTCAAGCTGTTTAGGAGGAGTTTAACACGTACAGCAGAATTATATATAAATGTGTGTCAATAACGTGAATTTATCGTACCTGTATGGACGGCGGCGTGTCGTCGCATGTCCTTCCCGGAGTGGAAAGCTCGCGGACAGCGCGGGCACTGGAAGGAGCGGCGCGAGGCGCTGCGCCCCGCCGCGCCCGGGCAGCCCGCGCGCACGCACCCGCCCCATCCCCCGCAAGCGCACTTCCTTTCTACGACATACTAGCATGAATAACGTCGAAAAACACTTTCATCTATTTTCTAGAAGCTACATCAACATATACATGTTGATAAAATTACAATACTCTATAAGTACAAGTGAATCGCTGTTCGTTATTCTCGACTAGCTAGTCTCGCGCAGTTTCACCCGCTGCTTGGCTCCATTTAATCGTAGCGTGATGTTTTATAGCCTCAGCACTCAGGAACATCGTAGCTATCTATCAGTGAAAGAATTTTGGCAATCCGACCTGCGGTTCCAAAGATTACCCCCTACTTACAAACTTACAAACATAACTTTACCTCAAAACATAAATTTTACCTCTTTATAATATTGTATAGATAAAACTCGAGAAAGGCCAAACCAACATGGCCTATTGTGGTCTTGAAACATACAGGGAAGTTTTGAAAAGTAAGAAAATGACACTAAATAAAAAATATATATATTATAATTTAGTTATATTTGAGGCTAGACGAAGTTTGCCGAGTCATCTAGTTTAAAATAAAAATAATCGACCGATCTTTTACGATTTACGAGGCCCTTTTTAAGAAGGCTAAATCATCAAATCAAACTCCTATCGCTACGGGTATGGCGAAAGGAACCGACAGACTAACTAAAAATCCCCAATTCCTCAGCCTCGGTACCTCACTGCGCTTGGCCCGCGGCCCGGGACCTGGGTGTTGAAAGTATTCAAATATGCACCTCGTATTCTGTCCTTTGTGGTGTACAAAGGAACACAGAATAAGAAGGACTTACTGATTAATTATGATCTGATATAGTGTGACAATTGAACTGCCTCCAAAAACATTTAAGAACGTTATTTTAGATTTGCTATAGAAATCTAAACAAGAAATGAGAAATGTCTTACCGTGTTTCCGCATATGTTTCCTCAGATTGGAACTATCTCGGAACCGTGTCCCGCAAGTCGGGCACGAATACGGGCGCTCGTCAGTGTGCGTGAGGCCATGTTTACGTAAAGACGAGAGGTTGTTGAACGCCTTGTTGCATTGGTTGCACGCAAACTTCTTTTCCTCTGTAAATAAAAGTAAAAAACACTACATAGTAGGTATAGAACAAAGTCGCTTTCTCTATCCCTATATCTCTATGTATGCATAAATCTTTAAAACTACGCAACGTATTTTGATGGGGTTTTTATAGATAGCGTGATTGAAGAGAAAGGTTTATATGTGTACCTAATAACATCCATTAGTGGAGAATTTAAGGGGTCAGTATTGCACTCATGCGTAATTAGGGCAAGCCCCTAATTAGTAATAATAATAAAATAATTAACTTGGCAATTTATTGAGAATACAATCCTTGATTGGGATGGAACTACATAGAAGAATTCATGCTTTGGATCCTAAAATTGCAACCAGTCTCTGAGAGATTAACCAGGCAAGAACAACACATAAGTATTGGGATATTGTTTTAGTGTTTTGCTTGCCTGCCTCTGATATCCTTTAATAAAAGCTATATTTTTACCCGACTATGGCAAAGTCAAAGGAGGGTTATGATTTTGACAGGCTATGTATGTATGTATGGTTAACTGTTGCCTCGTAACTTCTAAACTATTACCAGAATTCGACAAAAAAGGCGTAGTCACACGTTGTCAAAGTGCCACGGTAGGTAGGTATATGTAAGGTAACGTGTACGTTTTATTATGTTAAGCTGTAAATTAATGATATAGTCAACTCACTAGTATGCTTCAGCTTATGTCTCTGCAACTTGGACATCTGGAAGAATCCTTCGCCACAAACGTCACATGAGTACGTGCGCTCATTGCGGTGTACACGCATATGGTACTTGTAATGCGACATTATTGCGAACGTCTGAAACATACAAGATAATAATTATTTTGTATAAGCCTCGGTACAAATGGGCTGGACTGGGCTGGCTCGGTACAAATGGGATGATCAACATGACTGTAGCTACAAGTATAAACCACGAAGACCCCATCCCCGTCTCCAATTCTCAAAAGCCTCAATGGAGGAGTTACTAGTGGGTTACCGACATTTTGGAGATTTAGCTATTGGGGGATGGGATGGATTGGGCTTCTGGTAACGTCACTCACACAGCAAAAGAGAATGCAATGGTTGTTTCACACCAGTTTTCTCTGAGGCCAGATATCATTCTGGTTGACCTGACGCATTCATCCCAAATCATGGCTCTCCCACACTTTTTTTATAGTAAATTATTAAGCATCAAATTCACTATGAGTTTGATAATATGATACTTATCAGTACTATTCCTATCCTTACAGTCTCAATATTCTATAGTTATTTGCATCAATTTTTTTTATTATGTAACTAGGTGTGGAGTCTTGTAATATACTTTGTTCTGTCAACATATTGTTTGAATTTTTTTTTTATTATTAGTCTTGGACTCTTTTGTAAAGTACAATAAATAAATCTATTTTAGGGATAGATTATAGTGATAATAATGGCCAATAGGTACTAAACAATTATCTGAATGATACTTAATACTACTAAAGGTTAATAAGTGTTGCCCCACATACTGTAGGTGTGATTACAAACATACACATGACATCCAGACCTGGAAGAAATGCATTGGTCATATAAAGAGTTGTTCTGTAGGGGAATTGAAAACACTACATATTTAACATTGACAGTCAGTAGCCCAGCTACTGCGCCAACCATGTAATCTACTAATAATATTATATATTGTAATATTAGTGTGATACCTTGTTGCATTCTGGGCATTGGTATGGTTTCCGCTGTCCATTGCAGTATGCATGGTATGCCACTTGACTACGAGCATGGAATTTCTTCTTGCACACCGTACAAACAAACATTTTTCCATTTGCATCTGAAACCAATGAAATGGATTAAAAGCATTTATTTTAAAAGTAAACATATCATCTTAGCATCTTACATTGTTTACAAACAAAGTAGCCTTTTGACATTCCAACCAATATGGATAATTTTCAAAAAAGTTGTGCATCTTACCAGTTTCCACTTTAATGTGTGACGTTTCCAATTTCTTTTTATTGTAGAACTCATCATAGACTTCACACTGTAACTCCTTATCCAGTTCATCATAACACTTGTCAGACCCAGGCGGTGGACTATCCTCCGCAAATTCTTCGTCTAAACTTTCGTTCAAAGTTTCTTCAAATTTATGGCTCGATTTCTCCCTAAGGCAAGCTTGGCACCCAGTCTTCTCATGCAGTAAACAGTCCATACATTTCACATGACCACAACTCTCAGTTACCAGCCGGTTATCAGTCGCATTTACAGGCTTTTCATTGCGGCAATTCGTACAAACTTGCGGGTTCATATTGTTAAAACTTATCAGAGGTTATCCCAGAACTTAAAGTTTACACTGAGTTTTTTATAAATATTTACATCACAAGAATGACGCGAAGAGTTTTATTTAAGTACAAAAATGACATTGCAATAGAACTTCTATCTCAAAAACACACCAAACAATATTTATTTATTCCTTCATTTCGCAAAGTGCGAAGCTAAAAATGCTAACACGTTCGAAAACAAGACAAACTTTTAGTAACAAATCTTTATTTACTAAGTCAATTTTAAATTCAACGTTATTACTCATTAAATAAATATAATTCAGTTCTACCATGAGCCGTGTTACTCATTAATTTTCTAAATATGTTCGTTAAACCTAAATATAACAATAATCAAATTATTACTTGATATTAAAATTCAGTGCTTTTGAACGAACCTGAAACTGACGCCTAAAAGACTTTAAAGTTTGATAATCTGTAGTGGTAGGCATTGACCAATCTGGTTCAAAGGTCTTTTCATACAAATTCATAGACTTCTCGACTCGATTAAAGGATTATGAAAGAGTAAGTAAAATATAAAAACCCGAGGCGAGAAGTAATTATTAGAAGAAGAAGAATAGTTAAAGAAAAAAGTTGTATTATTGTAATATTTATAGTATCTAAAGCTAAACTATGTAGCACAAAGGTCTTATCCTCTTCACTTATTAAGGGAATTATAGCTTACTACCTATTTCCGGTCTGCTCCTTGGGGCTTTCACCTTACTTTGGTTCCTTGAAATAATAATATGTTCTTCGACATACATAGGCGGACACAGGGCCCCATCGGCCCTTATCAAGTGCTTGGTTCAGCAATTGCTCCCTTTTCAATGGAGGATAAGTAGAACAGTTTCAGACTTCGGCAGCGATGGAAGTCTAAGAGAAAGAAGTAAACTACCACATCACCATCATCTAGATGCGAGGTTTTCGCATATCCAGAAACAAACATTAGCTTTCTCTATTGTGGTGTGTGCCAGCGTCTCGTTAGACTTCGGCAGTGATGGAAGTAAGGGACGACTGAAGATGAGTTTTATGACTACTGTGGTAACGTTGTGGTCTTTATTATTGTAAACTTAACTTAATAGAACTTATAGTAAGTCCTATTGACTTACTATAGGTTCTATTAAGTTAGTTTTTGAAATCTGATCCAACAGACAAACTGTGTATACAGTTTTGTTGGACATTTTATACTTTTTATAATGTAAATTGTACCTGTTAAGCAATAATAAATAAATAACGTGGCTAAATCGAGCCTTCCATCAGCCTTTTTACTTATCTTGGCAGACACATGCTATAGTACCTGAGCCCATCTGCTACCGGCATTCGCAAGGATTGACAAACCATTAAAAGAGATTAAATCATGCTGCCAATAATAGGATGCAAAAAAGATCCCCACCACAATTTGCTGAATTGTATTGCGACCATGGCAACTTTCGGCAGGAATGGAACTGCTTGACTGGAGTATTACCACAGCCTCACAGGAAACAAACGTGAAACAATGTTTACGTTGTATTTCGCTACGTGAGGACTAATGAGGTTACCAGAGGTCAAATTCACTCCATCATCTCTAATCAATGGTGTTGTCTGTCATTGCTTTCTTTCAGTAGAAAAAGGATCGGGTGTGGAGCGTCAAGCAGTAGATTTCACCAGACAGTGATCAGAGCACCAAATGGAATCAGAATTGCAATGAGCAGGTCTGGTCTAGTTATTAGCAGCATTCGGTATCCTTGTAGCTTCTCCCCGTACAGCTGGGTCAAATTAAATCGATCCATTGTTCTATTCTATCCCATCCATTTCGGATCTAGCTACATGACTGGACACTAACTTGACCCATTCCAATGAGACTATAGTGGAACATCTATTCGACCCATGTTTTCATACGGCATTACAGAGCATGGCGAAGGAACAAAGCTGGACCGTTTGGGGAACATTTGAATTATTATTAATATTTATTAAATTATTGGATTATATACTCAATCGTCTAAGAAAAACTAAAAAAAAATATTAAACCAAATTCATACGAGTTAAGCCACCTTTCTTTTTTAAAGTCGTTTAAAAAATAAGTTGTAATATAATTTAAAAAATGGTTCCTGAGAAAAGCAACTCGTATGTTCTACACAAGGCACTGTGTTGGCTCGGACCGGCCCAGCCGCCCAGGGTGGACAATGTTTCTAACAGATTGATAATTTTGGTAGGTACCTATTATGAAATAAATAAATAATTGCTGCTAACGAGGAACCATCACTAACTTGTCAGTGTTAAGGGGTTCAAAAACTGCAATATATGTGGCTCATTTTTAATCCGTAGGCGGATTCCTTTGTATTTTTGGCCCGTCTGGGTTGTGAATAATCGTATAACCTTTGTTTTAATATAACGCAAACAAAATGATATAGGTACTATGTTTTAACGGCATCCATTAAACGTAAAAGTAAAACCTTTAAATTTAGTCCTTTTTTTAACATTTACCTACTGCAACTTAATAAAATTCAAAATTAATAACGTTATATCGTCGTGCACAGAATCGATTTGCTCATTGGCCTCGCATCGCAACACAGCGCGTTCTATGAAGTTAGTAATCTGTGGATCTTGCAGTTGTCATTTCGTTATAATTTCGTTTCGTAGGTACGCCTTGGAGAGTTTTTTCCTAAAAATAAATAGTTAATATAAAATAAATATATACGAAAAATGGTAAGTTTCCAGAAGCATAAATGTGTCTGTAACTGTGATCTAAAAATTGTGTAATCAGTGTTAAATTGACGTGCGATATTTGCTTGAAAGATGTAACCTCAAAAATGGAATTTGTTTTCAGGATGTCTTTCTAATGATTAGGCGAAAAAAATTAACCATCTTCACTGACGCGAAGGACACGACAACTGTCTTAGAATTGAAGAAAATGATAGAAGGTGGGTGCGTTTATCGCGATATGAGAAAATTCTATTTATAGTCGGGATACAATGTCGGGCGCGCAGCGCAGCTTTTGTTGTTAAGCCTTGTGTTATTCTTCATTGTTCGTGAATGTTTAATGTGCGGGGAATGTATTCAACTGCTACATTTTCCACCGGAAAATATGACTCCTTTTGCTATCCAGGCGTGTTACGATAACAAGTAATAAATGTATGTTTATTATCAAATAAAAAAAAGTGTTAACATAATTCACTGCCAGTAATAGTGGATAAATACACGGAGAAAGTGAATACTGTTTCCTAGGAAGTGCACTATTATTGTGGATTTAGACTTTGGACAGTGATTACAGTGTCAATGTAATCAATACAAAGCAAGATAACTAAGCCTCTCAATAAACACAAATCAACAAAAGTTTCTTTGCAGCATAAAGTTTTATTGTGGGACAGGTTTACAGTGTTTGTTTACTCCTTTGTTCTCTGCACTTTTAACCATTCATTAATGATCATAATAATAGTAAAAGCTAACTTATCTAAAGATAGCCCAAAGGGTTTTTAATAGTTTATAGGTTATCATACAAAAAACTAAAGGACATGCTCTATAAACATTCAGTAAAAAATACCATGCAACTATTGTAGCCTTCTATGTTTTCATGGAAACTATATTTACAATGCTTTTAACACAGTTACAAACATCATTTGACAAAATAAAACTATTTCAGCTATATTCAGTCAGCTGTAATCACAAGAATTAGTCATGTATTGCCAAATGAGTGGTATTAAAGATATGAGGAACATTACCTTGCCAGATTTATGTTGTTATTACTGCTTTAAATTACAGGCACACAGTTTACAGAATGTTTATACAGTTATTTGGTGTTAGATTACTCATATTATTTTTAACACATTATAAATACAATACATTGGTTAATAGAATAAAAAAGGGCAGAAAGTATTCATAATTTTTAAATATATACTATAAATAATGAATGATAAAATATCATGGAAAATGTAGCTTCAGTTTTGCTGAGTGATGAAAAACCAAATACCTTTAAATAGGGACATTCAAAAATTACACCACATTTATTAATTATTGTATCATCATTATAGATTGTATTAATGATATTGTTATCTAAATCACCAGGTATCTTGAAAGTGACACCTGTATGTCAGATGCTGTTCAACAAGGATAGTCAGCTGATGGAGGATGACAAGACCCTGGCTGAATATGGGCTGACATCAGCTACAGCCAAAGCTCAGTGTCCAGCACCAATTGGATTGGCTTTAAGGTATACACACAATCTGATATCAACAGTTTAAATATAAGTCTAATACATGAGGTCTTTGAAATAAAATTAATTTATTACCATTTTGAGGGGTGCATCTTGATAATGTAGTAGCATGGTCTCCCTCCCTTAAAAAAGGGGGTTGTATTTCTCTCACTTTTTACTCAATTATATTACTATCCATATTTTTAAAGGACCAGCCTATCATTTATAGGCTTGGCAACTGTCCTTATACATCAGTAACAACATAAATTTTGCTGACAGAATTTTATATATTTAACATCAAGTAATACTTACCCCATGAATGGGCTAAACTCAATACTATAATACAATGAAACAATGAATTTATTTTTGCAAATAGGCCATAAAACGGCACTTTTACACGTCAAATTATATGTGAAAAACTCGATGAAGCCGGCATTTCCTATCTGACTACTCTGAGAAGAAATGCCGAAACAAACTCAGAGGTCAGTCTCTTTTCAAGTCCAGACAATGTAAAATAACATAATGTGAGAGAACCGTGCAAGTTCATTCTGTAGTGGTCTTTTGAGGAAAGAACCACACCAGTTTAAGTGGACAGTTAGTAGAGACTCAAATAGTAAATTAAGATTGTGCTAATAAAGCAAATTGCTGACGATATTTACTATAAAGAAGCATCTCATTGTTAAAGCTGTAGGTGAAAAGATATTGTCTTCATCAATTAGCAGCTGACTGTACCATTTACGTAAAAGTATGACTTGCTAGAATAGATGTGGATAGTTCACTGTGTAATTGAAATGTTAGGTGAAGGTCAAATGCTTGTACATAACAATACTTAGTTCAACCTTTTTTTACCCTGAATGCTTTAAAGTTTAAACTCTAGTGGATAGAGACAGTATGATTGTCACACAAATATTGCTATTTAATTTTTTTTAGGAATTTGTTACTTATGTTATATTAAATGCCCGAAAGGTTGTCAGTTCAGTAAACTTTCTGGAGTCACTGTGATTGAACAGACTGCACATTTTGTCTCAGTAATGCCACATAACTTCTATAATAATTACAAAAAACGGTTTT